TGAACCAGAGGGGCAGACAGTTGTGGGTTTTTTTTTTAAAGCAGCATAGCTTAATGCAAAATGCTAGCATTACTGAGGCATTGAAAGATGAATTCATGTTATAATTGTGGGAATGATACTTATTTTCACTTCATAGTAGTATCTGTTCATGTGCATGCAGGTCCTGGACAGGTTTTGCTGTTTCATTTGTTATGTCCTATAAAATAGGACCGTGCAGCATATCTGCAGTATATCTTGCTGTAATTACTCTGCTCTTTGAAGTCATATAATCCTAGCACAATATAATCCTGGTGGAGAGGACCTCTGCAGGTATCTCCTCTGACCTGCCTCCCACTCACAGCGAACTTCTCACTAACAGCTGGGCAGGCCAGCTGTGGCTTTGTTGAGCCAAGTCCTGAAAACTCCCAAGGATGGAGATCCTCCACCCACCCTGTCCTAGTGCTGCACTACTTTCTTAGTACCCCGAGCTGTTGTTTTGTAGTTGTGGCATTGCAGAAAGCAGTACATGTCAGTGGTGACCTGTGATAATTCTCTTACTTCCTCAGTGTACGATATTGTGAGAAACTACACTGCAGACTACGATAAGACCTTGATCTTCAATAAAATTCATCATGAGCTGAACCAGTTCTGCAGTGCCCATACCTTGCAGGAAGTATACATTGAGCTGTTCGGTAAGTGGATGGGCAACTGGATGCACCCACCAAGGGCTGTGCAATCTCCCTGTTCTGCTGTGGAATACGTTACAGCAGGCTCCTGTGAGCAAACAGCCTCTATGCTGGAGTTGCAGTCTAGAATCAAGCTGCTCATATATCCATAGGTCACTTCCCTTGTAACTTTAATGATTTAGATTTCTTTGTCTTTCCACATCTGCACGTAGGAATTTGTTTTCAGTCCTTTTCCACTTAGGACTGAATTCTGGACGCACAAAGTAGCCACTCTGCTCTTACACGTGCAGTCGTGCCCATTGCCTTCACTATGATGATGGTTTTATCTTGTCTACTTTTATTTCTAGGCCTCTGTTCTGTTGTTGAACTGACTCTTTTTTTTACTTTAAAAGCTTCCTTCTGGCTGTTTTTAGCAAGTGGGAGCCAGAAGGGACATACTTTCTGTTCACTGCGATGCTCTAGTTTTTTCACAAGGGGGTGGCAGTGGTTCAGGAGTTAGCAAATGTAATGTTCTGCTTCTTAGTGCCTACCTGTGCCCTCAAAGACATAACAGCATCACCTTCCTCCTTGAGTGGCAGAGCAGGGGAAAATGAGTTTATGGAAGGTAACAGGTTATCAGAGTTTTAATATTATAAATCTTTGAATGCTGTACTCGGACTTGCCAAATATCTGTAGTCAGAGAGGAGTTTCCCAGTAGTACATGCAGCTTAATCTGTTCGTAACTGGCCATTTCTGTGGAAAGATCTTTGTGGAGCTTGGAAGTGACAAAATGGATTTTTTCAGTAGCAAGTACTGGATCCTGCAGGTCCCTAGAGACTTAAGACAGAGCTTGCTGCTGGCAATGGGGTTGGTGTGGCTCCGGCTAGGAAGGGGTAGGCTTCTACCGCAGGCTGTGGGTGCTTTTTCTTGCTGCGATGCTGAAAGCCGTTTGCCCTTAGCTCAGATACCATGAGTTCATCAATAGTTGAACCTTTCCAGAGGCACTAGCGTGTGGCTCTCCTTTCATGAACATTTTCCAAGAGGTATAGGAAGGGAAACAATGTACTGAAAGACCTCAGAAAGCATCTTTATCTTACACTGGAGAGGTACCTACTCTTCGAGGCCAGCTGACTCTGCCACACAAGCTGTAGGAGAAAAGGTGATAAGCTAAGTGGTCTCTCTCTTGTCCTCCAAACACAGATCAGATAGATGAGAATCTGAAGCTGGCCCTGCAGAAAGATCTCAATGTCATGGCACCAGGTCTTACTATCCAGGTAGGTTCATTCCCTAACAAAGATTATTCTTTTTCCCACTTCTAATTTGCTTACCTTTCACTACATTGATGAGATTTCTTGCTTCCATTTTCCACATAATATGAAATACTTGAGCCTTGAGTTGAGGTTTGTCAGTTGAAGACCGTCCAAATGACAGTGACCACTTCTAAACACTGGTTTTATGTTAGGGGAAGACCTGCAGGATAGAGAAAAGAATCTCTTGGGCCACAGACCTGCAGGTATCGGATTTAATTTGCAAAGAGCCAGAAAATGTTTTCCTTTAAACTACCTTTGGCACCCTTGCAAAACTGGGTGCTCCAGTGTACCAGCGCAGATCCTACAGGTAATTGAAAAAGAGATCTTCATCTTTTGTGCGCTTGTGCCAAAGACAGGGAAGTATGTTATATCCCAAGTGATTTTCTGCTTACACTTAATGTTAGAAAATCATGTCCCCGCAGCCAGGCTATGGGACATACTGGCTTTTTGACATGTTGAAGTTCAGGGCAACCAACTGGGAAAAATATAGCTTAGGCTTGCAAGGGCTAAGATGGAAATCTCGAGATTTCCATTGAAGGGAAGAGCGAGACCAAATCTGTTTTGCAGTTCTTGTTGCCACATTTAGCTAGGCTGGCTGGCTGCATGCAGGGAGGGAAAGCCTCCTGTTGGCAACACGTGTAATGCTACAATAAATACTGTTCAGCTTTGCAACTCATTTGTGCGTAGGCTTGCTCTGTTTTGATGAGGGTGAACCACAGGCAGTGTCTTAATCACAAAGAAGTTGAGATGGCACTGCTTTTCCAAATATCCAAGTTAACTTGCCCTATACATCGCAGAGGCATTTCCTACAGAAGTTCATAATTGGTCAAAATTATCATCATAATCAAAAATATCGTCGTAATTTTGAACTCTGAGTATGGCAGGGCGTAAGCAAAGTTCTCCGCTGGGAGATGTTAACTACAGAGCTAAATCTCATCTTCAGCATACGCTGTCCCATCTCAGTTTGGCACGCCCGGTCTTCACTGTTGGTCAAAATCCTGCTCAGCCTCAGCTCACCGAACCACCAGTTTGAAGAGGTCCCATAACTAGTGAGGAAAGTGGTTCATCCTAGTACCTAAGGGACAGTGTGATCCTGTCCCCGTGTTCCTATTGTTCTCTTTCAAAACAGAGCTGCACTCTTGTCTCCGGTAAAACTGTGCCTCAGCGTACAACTCTGCCATGTTACCGTGTCTCTTGTCAGGAAATACCCTGCTCCTTTGGTGAAGAGCTGAGCTTTCTTTAAACTCTTCACATGCATCTGTGTAACTCGGATTAACTTAAATGTACCTGTGAGCTCAGAAGTACTTGAGCATAGTGCTTTCCTCTTGAAGAGCATGTTTGCATGCATGAGTACTTCAGAGATCACTGACAATTCATTTTTGAAAGAAGTGACACAGAAAACAATTATTGAAAAGATGCTGTTCGTTAAAGGAAATGCACAGCATTTATTTCTAGGTTTACTGAAACTATTTAGTGTGTATGAAACCTTCACAAGTCCTCCAGATTACCTGATGCAAAACTTTCTTTCCTAACTGGAGTGGTGACCACAGCATGAAGAGAGGTGGAGGCCAGTGGACAGTAAGAAGTGTCTAGGGACAGTGTCATAGGGGAGGCTCCCATGCTTTCCCCGTGAAAACTGCGCACCCTGAGGCTCGTCTCGAGTATCTGGACGGAAACAAACCTGAGAAACTGGAAATCCACACACGTTTGCAGTCACGTGGCCTGGTGGGATGGCTTGCATAAGTGCAGTGCTGCTGTGGATAGGTACAGGCTCTCTAGGGAGGATAGGCTGAGACCGTGAGGCAGGAGGGTTGTGCTCTCTGCAAAGGACTGGTTTAGATCATGTGGAGCTTCGCTTTAAAATGGGTGATGAACAGCTGAGATAAGCGCCCGTGTAGGTAAGAATCAAACCAGGATGGAGGACCACATGGTCCTTGTCTGCTGCAGACCACCCGGTTAGTAAGATGAAGTAGGTAAAGCTACCTCTAGAAGACATAGGAAGCCTCATGATCACAGATCCTCGTACTCACAGGGATCTCTGACCACGTCTAGTGTCCACTGGAAGGGCAATAGGGCCAGGTGCAGGCCATGCTGGATGTTTCTGAAGGGTGGTGAACACAGGCTTTGGCACTGGTGACTGGGGGAGATGCTCTGCTGGAGCTTTTAGAAACACGGAAGAACTGGTTGAGCGGTGAAGTCTGGTAGCAGTGTGAGCTGTAGCAGCTGTAAGGTGGTGAGTTCAAGGTCCTCGGAGGAGCAAGGTGAACAGGTGAATTACGGACCTGGGCTTAAGGAGGACAGAACTCAGTTTGTGCGAGATGTGCTTGGCAGGGTCCTGTGGGAAATTGCCATGGTTGGCAGAGGAGGCCAGGAGGCCTTACTTCATTGCCAAGGACACCCCAAAGTGTGGAAAGTCAAGCAGATGAAATGGGAGTCTGGCATGTGCGAACAAGGAGCTCCTGTCTGAGCTGGAAAGCAAAAAGGAAACTCATAAGAGGTGGAGTAGGGATAGATGAGCTGGGAGGAATAAAGCTGGTTGAACTGAGAGCATAGAGACAGAGTTAGGAAAACCAAAGCTCAACTAGACTTGGACCTAACGATGTATAGGGCATCTGAGATGGAACCACAGCAAAAGGAAGGCCAAGGAAGCTGTGGAGCAGGGGACATAGTGACCAAAGACATGGAAAAGGCTGAAGTACTCAACACCTTCTCTGACTTCTTTCTGGCAAGGCCTGCCCTTGGGTCTCCCTGTTCCTTACCCTAGCAGCAGAGTCTGCAAAGGTGAAACGTTATCCACAGCAGAGGACAACTGAGCAGATGGACACACGCAAGTCTGTGAAACCAGGTGGGATGCATCCCAGGGTGCTGAGATGTTGGCCCACGCCGTTGTGAAGCCACTTTCTTATCTTTGAAAGATGACAGTGGTCAAGGGAGGACCCCAATAAGTGGAAATAGGCAAATGTCGCACCCATATTTAAGGAGGAAGATTGACAGGAGAGGAGAAATACCATACCGTGAGCCTGTTCCTATTCTCCACAACGTTTATATTGCCATCTCAGTGGCTTTCAACTGCACTCTTCAGTTTGTTGGTATCCCTTATACTGGGTTCCTCACACTGGATGCAGTATCTGGATGCAGCCGCCTCAGTGCCAAGTAGAGGGACATCAAAATTACTTTCAACCTGCTGTTGATTTTTTTGCCAGTGCAACTCAGGATGAGGCTGGACTTCATGGCCACAGGGAAAATATGCTGTCATATAGTCAGCTTGTCTTTTGATTCCTTCATGCTCTTTTTTTCAAAGCTGTTGCTCAGCCAGTTAGTCCCAGCATGTCTCAACACCTTAAGGGTTCATTACTAACAATATTGACAGTGCACAGTAATGTTTCCATCTAGTACCTTTAAGTAAATTTCACTATTAAATAGATTGAGCCGTTGGCTTGAAAAAGAAGCAGCTAGTGGAGATTTTCAAAGACGTGGCGGCTTTCATGATTACAGAGGAATCTTTACCCATGTTGGAAAAGCCACACTTCTGGAAACTGATCTTTGTTTTGATGCAGAGGTATGACGGAGATAGAAAGAATATCCACCTGCACGCCCTGCAGTGGCTGGTGAGGTGAGCTTTCTGCAAGTGGTACCTTTCTAGGGACTTGGAGAGGCTTTGCTCCTGGTAGGAGCTTCAAAAAATCCTTTCACCGAAGGATGTTCTGGTCTGATGTCCCATAAATCTGCCTTCTTTGCTTGTTCAGAGAAGCGGCAGAGTTGGGATTGTTCAGCCTGGAGAAGAAAAGGCTCCAGGGACACCTTATTGCAGCCTTTCAGTGTATAAAGAGGGCTTTTTAAAAAAGGTGGAGAAAGACTTTTTACCAAGGCCCGTAGTGATAGGATGACAGTTTTAAACTGAAAGAAGGGTAGGTTTAGATTGGCTATAAGGAAGAAATGTTGTACTGTAAGGGTGGTGAGGCACTGGCACGGGTTGCGTGGAGAAGTTGTGGATGCCTCATCGCTGGAGATGTTCAAGGTCAGGTTGGACAGGGCTTTGAGCTGCCTGCCCATGGTGGGAGGGGGTTGGAATGGATAATCTTGGAAGGTCCCTTCCAACCCAAACCATTCTGTGATTCCTCAATGTCCTACTTTGATGACAGGCTGGCTCTTTCTCCCCAGGCATGGTGTTTACCAGGGCCAGGGTGCCTGTCACATGGGAATGGTTCTCTTTCCTTGCTGTGTACAAAGGCTTGCCTGGACGTGTCAGTATCCCATTCCCCTCTGTGGAAGCCCCTCAGTTCTTTGCAGACTTACTGACCCCAGAGAGAAACAGCAGGTTCAACACTAGATCTCCAGTGAAGATGGAGCAGGAGGGTCGTGAAGCAGTTGTACAGCCGTGGACTGTCAATCTGCATCTTCCACAGCTCAGTAATGACCCACACAACATGCCAGCTGAGCAGCAGTACCTTCTGGTCCTGCCTCTGGAGGTGTTTCCCTCATATTTCAGAGAGTCCTCAGCAGAGCAGCTTAGCGACTGTCTCCAGCATGTACCTGCGTTGTGGTGTCACCATCACTGTGCATATAACTCTTGATGGTCCGCAGTTGCAAACAACAGCTGCCACCCGTGCCCTGCTGTTCTTCCCTGTCTTCACTGCTATGTCTGTTATTGCATGGTCACTTTTGTAAGCTTTTCTCCTGGAAAATCCATTCCTCAGCTTGTAGCCCTGCCTCTGTTTTGCAGGTCTCCTGCAATTTAATTTCATTGGGTTTGTGAGCCACGTTCTCGAGCAGTACTTTGGGAAGTGTTGTCTGGTGGTGTTTGAAGAGTCTTTGCAGTGGAGAACTAAGCTTCTTCTAACAAAGGTGGTGGACCTCTTTAGCAGTCTACCCTGCAGGCCTTGCTTGATCATGTAGGTGCCCTAAAAGGTGCAAAGACAGGAGGTACAAATGTAAGATACCTCTGTGAGAGTGGCTGTGTTCAGCTGCGTTGTACAAGAGAACCATTATGTGGTGTCTTGGGTCAATGTAGAAATGTCCAGAGCACTACAGCTGATTTTGCAAAGACATTTCTTAGTTGTGCAGCTCACATCAAAACATTTAATTTAAAATGTACTCACTTTTTGTTTCCGTAGGCTGTGCGTGTTACAAAACCCAAAATCCCAGAAGCCATCCGAAGAAATTTTGAGCTAATGTGAGTAGCTGTACATAAAATTGCATGAATTGGTTTTGAGAGTCCAGCACAGGCGTAATGCTATTAGAAAGCTTTTACCTGGTGCTCAGAAGGTGAGGGGTGGGCTCTAGCCAGCCTGTGCTTGGCTAGGTGCACTTGTGCATTCTGTTTCTCCATTTCCATAGGTCTTTCACATTGAAGCCTTTCAGCCCTTCACAAAGACAGCTGTTAGCATATACAGAGTCCGTAGCAAGGCTATGTTCCTAATCCTTTCTGTAGGGGGGGACACTGATGTGCTGTAGAGAACCTGTAGAAGATTTGTAAACTGAATTCACGGCTCAGGGGTCTTGATGTCCCACCCATAAGCTCCCCTCCAGCAAACTCACAGAATTGCAGACAGATTTTAGTCTGATATGTAGCCGTGGAGATCTCCTGTCCAAGCCCTTTCCCAAAGTGGGGCCAACGCCTTAGCTGCAGCAGGTCGCTGGGGGCTGAGTTGGGGCATCCCTGGGGATGGGGATCCCCAACTGCTTGGGCATTGTCCCAGGGATGTCCCGCTTGCACAGGAATGGCCTGTTTTCCTTGGGACCGGCTGAGGTTTCCCATGCTGCAGCTATGCCGGTGCCTCTGGGGCTCTCGCTGTGTCCCTCCAAGCAGAGTCCAGCCCTGATATCTCCAGGACCCCTTTGAGCAGGGGGAGATGCTGCTGGGTCCCCCTCCGCCTCCTCCAGCTGAGCAAGCCCAGTCCCTGTAGCCTCTCCTATGCCCTGGCTTCCACCCTGCATCTACAGTAGCCATGCACTGGACTCGCTCCTTGTCCTGAGGGCCTCAAACTGTATATAGCATCCAGATGTGGCCTCACCAGTGCCAAGCAGAGGGGGGGAATAATGCCTGCCTTTGACCTGCTGGCTGTGTATGTGCTCATACATAGCTGAAGACAGAACTGGTCCTCATGGCCGTGAGGACATGATGCTGGCGACTGGTTGGCTTCTTGTCCGCCTAACCTCTCATGCCCTGGTTTGCAGAGCTGCTCCCGAGCTCTGTTTCCCTGTGATAACGTTTCTCACCCTGCAGGGAGGCTGAGAAGACAAAGTTGCTGATTGCAGCCCAGAAGCAGAAGGTAGTAGAGAAGGAGGCAGAGACAGACCGGAAGAAAGCGCTCATTGGTATGTCGCCAGTTGAGAGTACTAGCGCATGGGGGTCAGGCTGAATTTCCATTCCTACATCCCTCAGTAAGCTGGGGTAGAACGTTGTTTTTCATCACTGACAGCTCCCTGAAGGAGTCACGGCCAGGCTGCACCAACAGTCGCTTAATGAGTGTTTGTGCTGCTGTATCTACATCCCACCTCCCTCCCCGTAGCAGCAGAGCAGTGAACAGCTCTGTGCTATGATGCGGCTCCTGCTACAGCAGGCCAAGAGGCAACAGCTCTGCCAGAAAAACTACTTGGGCTTGAAGCTAAATGTCCCTGTGCCAGGGGGACTCAGACTTCTAAAGGGAATGTCAGCCAGTACAACTCTAGAAACATCAGCCCTGTGTTTTCTTTCTGTAACTACGTTGCTCAGAGTACAAACTGGCACTGTAGGATCCCAGCAGAGAGGAAGGCAGCAAAGAGCAAACTACTTGCATGGCAGATTCTGTGACCAGGTGCAGGGGTCGGGTGGGTGCTGATGCTTAAGCCCTGAGAAGCAAATGTCTGAGCTGAGCCTGTTGTGATTGCAGAGGCAGAGAAAGCTGCTCAGGTGGCCAGGATTCACTATCAACAGAAGATTATGGAGAAGGAAACAGAGAAGCGAATTTCTGAGATTGAAGGTAACCATGCTGCTGGGATCATCTTCCAGCTAAGGGTGGTGGCAGGTGGAGGAACCTCAGAATTGGGCTCATAGACATTGCCACCCTGCAAAAATAATAAAGGTGCAGTCGCAAGGTTAGGCACTGGGGTCATTCCTCCCCTTTGCAGGTACGTCTCCCAAGAAGCCAGCAGTGCAGTTACACAGCCAGTCAGGCTGTGTCACGGGCACACCTGGGTCGGCTAGTTCCCATGGGACAAAGGCTGAGGTGCTGGATGTGGTGGGGCTATTCACTTGCTAATGCTTCTTTTGGTGTCTGTCCTCTGTTGCTGTGCTAGATGCTGCGTTCCTAGCAAGAGAGAAAGCAAAAGCTGATGCAGAATACTACACTGCTCAGAAGCTGGCCGATTCCAACAAGGTGAGCACTTGAAAGCTGGTCGGAAGAAGACTTGCTTGCTCTTTTTCTCTGCACAGGAGATTAGATTCAGGTGGGCAGCACTGGAAAAACCGCTTGATTTAACAGCCTACATCCCAGGAAACAGATACCTGAGATGAAATCTAATGATATGGGGCCCAGGAGGTTGTCTTACAGTCTCTGGTTTCTCTTTTTGTAGCTGAAACTTACCCCTGAGTATCTGGAACTAATGAAATATCAAGCAATAGCTGCAAACAGCAAGCTATATTTTGGTGACCGCATCCCCAGCGTGTTTCTGGATACCTGTGCCTTCCAACAAGCCAAGACTGCCCAAGAAACCAGCCTTCCTTCACAGGAGGCTCCAGAGACCTCTGGAGAAAGCCACCTCAGAGCAAAGGAAAGCACTGGCTGACAGAGGTAGAAAGATACCTGATATAGCTCAACAGCTAGCCCAGCTGTGAATGGGGATGTTGCCCTGTGCTGATGGGGCGGATGCAGCACATACGTGGACATCTTGTGTATAGGTGGCAGTTGGGTTGATTTTCTTCTAGCAACACATTGCAAGTGCTCTGCCTCTTCCGTTTCTTCCCCTATTAAATTGGTGCTTCCAAATAAGGGATAATCCTGTACTAACATACCTATACTGGAATATTAAAAGACAAGACACCAGGAAAGCCTTCCGCAGTAGGTGCAGTTATTTAGCAAGCATTACTCTGGAGGTAGGGGATGTGGCTTTGAGTGCTGTGTTGCTGCACACTGGTCATTGCCCAGTGCTCCCCACTGAGGCTGAGCAAAGAGGTTTTCTTCGTCCTGCCGATGAAGCTTCACTTTTTTGGACTCTGAGGCAGGTTTCTACTGGCACTATCTGACTCTCCTCAAGGACTCAGTGAAGTGGGCTCTCCTTGGCCAAAGTGGAGGCTTGGTGGTCCTGCTGAGGGTAAGGCCAGGTGAAGGAGTGATTTGGTATAGAATTAGGTTATTTGAATAGGATCTGCGTAGCCATAATCTTTTTTCCTGTAGCCAGTGGCACTAAGTGATGACTCGGAGCAAGCAATCTCTAATGGGCTTCTGCAACCCCCTCTCCAAGCAAGACCCTCACACTGGCTGCCCGTGACTGACTGTAGTACATTTCAGCTGGGTGGCTGGGTCTCACCTTGCACCCTAAACCAGATTTCAGACTGCATGGAGCACCTCCGATCAGCTGGTTGGGAACAGAGCTGGGAAATGTTTGCTCAGATCCCAGCCTCCCTGTAGGTCTTTTCACCAGGGGAAATGGGGCTGAATTTCCACTGCTCTGCCTTGCTGGCAAAGTGAAGGGGAAGAGAAGAGTGAAGGGACCCCGCTCTGCAGCAGACCGAATGTTCAACACCTCAGCTGTAAAGTAGGTGAGGCATCGCTGCTCCCCAGTGCAAAATCCACTGCTCCAAGAAGGAGTGGGACCTATCTGGTGTGTCCTTGAACAGCTGTGGTGGGAAGTCTGTCACTGGTCCTCTTACCACTGTGACCAGGTTTTGCTACATCGCAGGGCTTTTGACTCATGAGCAGCGCTAGCAGGATGATCTTTTCTCCTGATGTGCTTTGTAATATATCCAGCCCCTGCTCCCTGTGTGCCACTGCAGGGTGAGAGAAAGAGATGTGCTCAAGGAGGAAATCTGCTGGTACGATCTGCTTTGCTGTTTTCCTTTGTCCTCCACTTTGCCTTTGAGGACGTGCTTGTTTCTAGGACCTGTTCCTCATCGTGTTCTGCAACGATCCCAGAAGATGATGGCTGGGGAAGCAACTGGCAAGAGCTTGAGCTGGAACACCATTCCCCGGCTGGTCGCACCACAGCATTGCCTGCCTCTGAACCCATCACGTGTTCAGAGACTGCCTCTCGTCTGCCAACCTGAGATATCTGTACATTCATCCTGCTTTCCTGTCGCCCCTTGGGTGCAACCACAGCCCTGGCATGGTTCACCGGATGGGCCAGTTGGTGATGGTGTTGAGATCTGTCCTGGCCCCATCTGCAGCCTCAAGGCAAGAGGAGGAACATGCTTAGCTTTTCCCTTGGTGAAACATTCAACGCAAAATTGTTGTGTGGGCTTCAGACTTTCCAGTGCTGTTTTCCTATCCTGTGTGGCTTGACTTTGAGGATGGCAACATCTCTCCTCAAGGAAGTTTGGTAACATACGGTGCCTTACCCTTTCTTGGCTCCTGCCCCGGCTGCCTCTCCTCGATCTCTGGGGCAGAGCAGGGATGCTTTGACCCTGCATCTCCTGCTGGCACTGTGGGACTTTGCAGCAGTTTCAGGTGTTTTTTCTTTCCTCCCTCTGTCTGCAAACTCCCAAGGCTCAGTTGATGCTCTGCTCCAGGATACCAGTTCCTCTTCAAACTCAGCCATGGCAGGAGCCAGGGACCAGGACCCTGCCCCAGCAAGAGGCCAGCTGAAGGTGCTGAGCACCAATGCCAGCTTCTTGGGAGGTCATGGATGAGTGTGCTTCCTTGTGCTCTGAGGATGAGGGGAAGGGTAGTGCTGTTACCAGGAGGAGAGGTTTCTCCTGTTTGCGCTGTACGCACCTGGTGCACAGGGGTTGTGGCACAGCCATGTGCCTTGCAGATCCCAGCCTGGGGAGCACTAAGCCGAGCTTTTGCTCGGGGCAGAGGGGGGCTCATGTCTTCACCTGCCAAAGGCTTGGGCAAACAGCGCTCTCGTGGCAGAGAGCAGCCTTCGAAGGACACTGGTGGGCGGAGGGGCAGGAAGGATGTCTGCATGTCGCACTGGAAGGCAGCTCAGGGAGGGCAGAGGTGAAACCCATGGCTGGTGGCAGGAGAGGAACGAGCAGGCACAGCGTTGGCTCCATTAGACCCTGCAGTGCCGTCCCCAGGGGAAGGGTACTAGGGCAGAGAGGGGATGACAGAGTGTTTTGTAGCTGTGGTGTTTGAAATGTCTCCTGGAAGTACTGTTTGACTTGCAACGTCCCTTTTCTCCTGTGGGAATGGCTTTGAAGAGCCAGTGGAGTAGCATCTCTTTGACCTTCCACCTCCTTGGTGTTGCTGGCTTGCAGCAGGCACTTTGCAGCAGAAACACGGCCTCTCCTCACCCCAGCGGCAGCCACTTTGGTTGCATTTTGAGGCAAAGGCAGACTTTTTAGAAGAGAAGCACTCCTGGAAGGGACATCGACTTATCTCCATGTGGTACTCGCTGGGGCTGGGCACTACCCAGTGCTGGTACCAAACCCTGGGCATCAGGCTGGGTGAACAGGGTAGGTTCTGCCAGCCTGGAGATAACCAGAAGCAAGGATACGAGGGGAACCGCTAGAAGCAATAACCAGGCAACTCACAGCTCTCCTGCAGTGATCAGAGCGAGATCCCCATGCAGGGAGCAGGAAAACCTTCCAGACCAGTGTGGGAAAGGCTGCTTCCCTTTGGATCTGAGCCTTGCTGGGCCTCCCTGCAGGCATCTGGGTGGATGCATGGCTTTGCCATTAGTGGCTGTCACACTGGCTAAATGTCCTCCTGCTCAGGTTGGCTATGCATTGGCCACCTCTTAGCCACATGGTCTGAGGGGCACAGAAGGGGATGCTCCTTTGGCTTGAAGTGCTGCAGCAACACGTGCATGATGTCAATGCCTTCTGCAAAAACCCGCATCCCCTTCAGCTTCCCCAGCCACTGCTTCAGAAGCCAGATTTAGGTGTGCGAGAGGAGGGAATCGTCACAGCTTTAACACCCCAGCCTGGGCTTTGCTTCTGTTTGAGCTGGGAGCTGTGGAGCAGGAACACGACTGCAACCAGGAACGTGGGATTGAACTGGTTTTTTCTCTCCATTGGAAAGGCCTGTGCGGTCCTGTGACTAAAGGAGTTTGCCACTGGATCTGCACCCTCTTTAAGGAAACACGATACATATGTTCAAGTTTACATGCATAGTGTTAAGTTCTTTTGATAAAGCAGAATAAAATTATTTTGTTACCATTTCCTTGGTGGCTTTATGTGCCCTAGGGCTGGTGTCACTGTAGGCACGTAGAAGAGGGTGAGTGTCCCTCACCGTGCAGTAGCGCTGCATCTAGTTGCATGTCCCCAGCTGCAGGGACTACCACCCTAGGAGCCCTGTGAGCAGCCTGGCCTCAAAGAAAACCACAGGATGGTGCTGAGCAGCAGAGGCAGCGCTTACAGTCCTGCTCCGTTGATGCTATTGTTCTCCAAAGCTCGTGGTGGGAGCTGAGCCCTGTTGACCCTTGAGCATCTACCTGAACTTCCCGGTTGCTCACAAGTGGCCGATGCGGGAGCATTTCCCAAGCAGGCATGGCTGCTGTGTGTGAGCGGTGTCCTTGGGGACCGCGGGCCACTCCGAGCACTGATGTTGCCTACAAGCATGAACACTTGTCTGGGAGCTGAGCTGGTGGTGGGAGTCACGGTGGCCAGTCTTCGGTCACAGAGCAAGCCCAGGGCCTGTTTTGGCAGCTGGAGCTGGGGGCCAGCGGTACTGTGTGCCAGGGGGGTCACACGGACTTGCTGCAGCATCCCGCAGCCCCCATGATGGCCTTACTCCACGTGGCTGGCAGAAAGCGCTGCCATTTGGCCTCCCTGGCTCTGGCACAGGATTTGGGAGCTCAACTCAAGCCCTTCTCCCCCATGGCTCCACCCATGCCAGATCCACCCTGCGACCTGGGCAGCTCCCTGCCTGCTGCCGCCCTCCTGCCCCGCTTGCCTGTGCTGTCCCCTTCTGCCAAGACAAACCCCGTGACACCACTACCTTCAGTCTTTATTGGTATAAAAGCCTTCAACCTAAATTATATCAAAAATGGGGAGGCCTGGTTTCACAACGGATGGCTCAAAATGGTCTCATAAGGGTCATAAATTAATGGCTGCAGTAAAAAGGCTCCCAGGAAATTCCATTTCAGAACAGTAACTCAAGTGATAACTTCAGAGAGAAAAGCCCGGTGGGAAAGCCAAGCCCGGCTTGGACCTGCCAAAGTCCCTGGTGAGGTTCCCCTGTGTGACTGTACCCAGGCGAAGTAGTGGCCCTGGGGCATGGTCCCCATGGTGCAGCACTCCTCCTGCCCCGGCGAGCCCGGCGTGTGATGCCGGGAACCTCCTTGCCGCAACCCCGGCAGGGAAGGGGCAGGAGGAGCAGGACACATTCAGGATGTCGGGAGAGAAGGCAGCAGCTCCCAGGGTGCAGGAGAACCTGGACCAATTTGGTACTGGCCTCAAAACCAGAGCTGGCATTGTCCCCGCTCCTGGTCTCTTCACGAAGCCCCAGCTGACAGCTCTCCCTGGGCCAGCCGTGAGGCTACGAAGTGTGCTAAG